AAATGGCAAGCTGGATAAAAAAAGCAAGACCTAATGGAGACCCATCTCACCCACAATGACACCCACAGGCTCAAAATAAAGGGATGGAGAAAAATCACCATGCAAATGGAAATAAGAAAAAAGTAGAGGTTATAACCCTAATTTCAGACAAAATAGACTTTAAACCAACAAAGATTTAAAAAGACAAAGAAGGGCATTACACAATGGTAAAGGGTTCAATCCAACAAGAAGACCTAACTGTCCTAAATATATATGCACCCAACACAGGAGCACCCAAATTCATAAAGCATGTTCTTAGAGACCTACAAAGAGACTTAGACTCCCACACAGTAACAGCTGGAAACTTCAACACTCCACTGACAGTATGAGAGAGAACACTGAGGCAGAAAATTAACAAAGATATTTAGGACCTGAACTCAACATTGGACCAAATGGATCTAATAAACCTCTACAGAACTCTCCATCCCAAAACAACAGACAATATATTCTCCTTGCCACATGGCACCTACTCTAAAACTGACCACACAATCGGACATAAAATGATCCTCAGCAAATGCAAAAGAACTGAAATCATACAAAACACACTCTTGGACCACAGTGCAATTAAAATAGAAGTCAAGACTAAAACAATCACTCAAAACCATGCAATTACATGGAAATTAAACCACCTGCTCCTGAATGACTTTGGGTAAATAATGAAATTAAGGCAGAAGTCAAGAGGTTCTTTGAAACTAATGAGAACAAAGATAAAAACAGAAGAATCTCTGGGACACAGCTAAGGCTGTGGTTAAGAGGGAAATACATAGCACTAAATGCCTATATCAGTTAAGTTAGATCTCAAATTAACAACTTAATATCATAACTGAAAAAAATTAGAGAAGCAAGAGCAAAGCACAAACCATTCAAAAGATCAATGAATCTAGGAGCTGGTTATTTTAAAAAATTAGTAAGATAATCTGCTAGTAGACTGATAAAGAAAAAAGGGAGACAATTCAAATAAACACAATTAGAAATGACAAAGGGGATGTTACCACTGACCTGACAGAAACAAAAATAAGCATCAGAGGCCAGGCGCAGTGGCTCACACCTGTAATCCCAGCACTTTGGGAGGCCAAGGCGGGCAGATCACGAGGTCAGGAGATTGAGATCACCCTGGTTAACACAGTGAACCCCTGTCTCTACTAAAAATACAAAAAATTAGCTGGGTGTGTGCAGGTGCCTATAGTCCCAGCTACTCAGGAAGCTGAGGCAGGAAAATGACATGAATTTGGGAGGCGGAGCTTGCAGTGAGCTGAAATTGCCACTGCACTCCAGCCTGGGCAACAGAGTGAGACTCCATCTCAAAAAAATAAAAAAATAAAAAAGTAAGCATCAGAAACTACTATGAACATCTCTATGCACACAAACTAGAAAACCTTGAAGAGATGGATAAATTCCTGGACACATACGCCCTCTCAAGACTGAATGAGGAAGAAATTGATTCTCTGAGCAGACCAGTAATGAACTCCAAAATTGAGTCAATAATAAAAAGCCTGCCAAGCAGCCGGGCACAGTGGCTCATGCCTGTAATCCAGATACTTTGGGAGGCCGAGGCAGGCAGATCACAAGGTCAAGAGATTGAGACCATCCTGGCCAACATGGTGAAACCGCATCTCTACTAAAAATACAAGAATTAGCTGGGCGTGGAGGCACGCACCTGTAGTGAGCTGAGACCGCGCCACTGCACTCCAGCCTGGGCAACAAGAGCAAGACTCTGTCTCAAAAAAAAAAAAAAAGAAAAAAAGAAAAAAAAAAAAAACCAGAACCACACAAATTCTACCAGATGTACAAAGAAGAGTAGATATCATTCCTACTGAAACTATTCCAAAAAATCGAGGAAGAGGGACTCCCCCTCAACTCATTCTATGAGGCCCATATCATCCTGATTCCAAAACCTGGAAGAGACAACAAAAAAGGAAACTTCAGGCCAATATCTTTGATGAACATTGATGCAAAAACCCTCAACAAAATACTTGCAAGTCAAATCCAGCAGCACATCAAAAAGTTAATACACTATGATCAAGTAGGCTTCCTCCTTGGATGCAAGGCTGGTTCAATATATGCAAATCAATAAATGTGATTCATCACATAAACAGAACTAAGGACAAAAACCACATAATTTTCTAAATAGATGAAGAAAAGGCTCTTGATAAAATTCAACATTCATTCATGTTAAAAAAAAAACTCTCAATAAACTAGGTACTGAAGGAATATACCTCAAAATAATAAGAGCCATCTATGACAGACCCACAGCCAACATCAATGAATGGGGAAAAGCTGGAAACATTCCCTTTGAAAACCCGTACAAGACAAGGATGCCCTTTCTCACTACTCCTATTCAACATAGTATTGGAAGTCCTGGTCAGAGCAATCAGGCAGGAGAAAGAAATAAAAGGCATCCAAGTAGGAACAGAGAAAGACAAACTATCCTTGTTTGCAGATGACCTGATCCTATATCTAGAAAACCCCATAGTCTTGGCCCAAAAGCCCCTTCAGCTGATAAACAACTTCAGCAAAGTTTCAGGATACAAAATCAATCTACACAAATAACTAGCATTTTTATACACCAACAACAGCCAAGCCAAGGGCCAAATCAGGAACACAATCCCATTCACAATTGCTACAAAAAGAATAAAATACCTAGGAATACAGCTAACCAAGTAGGTGCAAGAGATCTACAAAAAGAATTACAAAACACTACTCACAGAAATCAGAAATGACACAAATAAATGGGAAAACATTCTATCCTCATGGATAAGAATAATGAACATCATTAAAATGGCCATACTGCCCAAAGCAATTTATACATTAAATGCTACTCCTATCAAACTATGAATGACATTCTTCACAGAACTAGAAAAAACTATTTTAAAATTTATATGGAACCAAAAAAGAGCCCAAATAGCCAAGGCAATCCTAAGCAAAAAGAACAAAGCTGGAAGTCTCACATTACCCAACTTCAAACTGTACTCAGGGCAACAACAACCAAAACAGCATGGTATTGGTACAAAAACAGACACATAGACCAATGGAACAGAACACAGAGCCCAGAAATAAGGCTGCACACCTACAACCATCTGATCTTTGACAAAGCTGTCAAAAACAAACAATGGGGAAAGGACTCCCTTCCTATTCAATAAGTGGTGCTAGGATAACTGGTAAGCTGTATGCAGAAGACTGAACTGGACCCTTTTCATACACCATATACAAAAACCAATTCAAGATGGATTAAAGACTTAAATGTAAAATGCAAAAATATAAAAACCCTGGAACACAACCTAGGCAATACCATTTGGAATATAGGAATGGGCAAAGGTTTCATGACAATGATGCCAAAAGCAATGTCAACAAAAGGAAAAACTGACAAATGGGATCTAATTAAACTTAAGAACTTCTGCACAGCAAAAGAAATTATCAATAGAGTAAAGAAATAACCTACAGAATGGGAAAAATTGCAAACTATGCATCTGTACAAAGGTCTAATATCCAGCATCTTAAGGAACTTAGATTTACAAAGGAAAAAAAAAAAAAACCTCATTAAAATGTGGGCAAAGGACATGAACAAACATGTTTCAAAAGGAGACATATATGAGGCCAACAAGCATATATATATAAAAAAGCTCAATATCACCGATCATTAGAGAAATGGCAATCAAAACTACAATGAGATATCATCTCACACCAGTCAGAATGGCTGTTATTAAAAAGTTAAAACATAATAGATGCCGCAAGGTTGCAGAGAAAAGGGAACACACACACTGTTAGTGGGAGTGTAAATTAGTTCAAATATTGTGGAAAGCAGTGTGGTGATTCCTCAAAGAGCTAAAAACAGAACCACCATTTGACTCAGCAACCCCATCATAGGGTATATAGCCAAAGGAATAAAAATCATTCTACCATAAAGACACATGCACACTTACGGTCATCACAGCACTATTCACAATAACAAAGACATGGAATCCACCTAAATGTTCATCAATGGTAGACTGGATAAAGAAAATGTTTTACATATATGGCCATAATAAAGAATAAGATCATGTCTTTTGCAGGAACATGGATGGAGCTGGAAGCCTTAGTAAACTAACAAAGGAACAGAAAACCAAATATAGCATGTTCTCACTTATAAGTAGAAGCTAAATGATGAGAACTCATGGACACAAAGAAGGGATCAACAGACACTGGGGCCTACCTGAGGGTGGACAGTGGAAGGAGGGAGAGGATCAGGAAAAATAACTATTGGGTACTAGGCCTAGTACCTGGGTCATGAAATAATCTGTACAACAAATCCCCATGATACGAGTTTATCTATGTAACACTCCTGCACAGGTAACACTGAATCTAAAATAAAAGTTTTTTAAAAAAGAAAAAAATATTTTCTAAAAATTCTTAAGTGGGCTTCAACTTCTCATGGTACCTATTAAAATTTTGATAATAAACATTGCTTAGGGTAGCTATATAATACTTATCAATAAATGAATTTGAAATGTAATTCATTGGAAAAAATATAAAATCTTTTTACTACAGTAAAAGTCAACATAAAGTTTTAGAATTCACGACACTGAAAAACAAGCTAAATGAAAACAACAATCTATACTGATTAATATTTCATTTACTGTTGCTCAAAGTTAGACAACAGTAGGTTCAAATAGCCTTGGATTCTTAAAAATCTTTAGTAAAACAAAATACATGGGAATAATATTAGTGATTAATCCATACAGTAAGCAGATTCATTAAGTTAGCATTATTTTGCTTTCATAGAATATTTTTCTTCTTAAGAAAACATAAAAATAAAATTTTACATTGGTTCTTGTCAAAATCCAATTAATAACCAAATAATTATTTCTAAGTGCAACTTATTTCTAAGTGCAATAAGCCCTTAACTGAAGGGCTTACTGAAACAAAGCCAGTGTAAAAGAGCTTTTCAAGAAGTTACAATATAATAGGAAAATAAATCGGTCCATATATTTTGTTGCAAAAGGTGAACAAAGCTAATCAAATTCAGGAGAAAAAACTCTGAATAATTATGAACTACCTCTTAAAAATAAAAAGCGTGCTTTGTGATTAGGTGTCTTTATTCTGTCTCTTATTAATATAAAAAGTATTTGTTTGTTTTAGAAAATACCATCAAATATTCCCAATAAAGACTTCATTTCATCAGCTTCATCATCAGGATGATACATACTGGGAGAAAGAAGAAAAAGTAAAAATAACTATTTTTAAACAATTTATTTTAAAATACACAATAAATAATACAATAAAATAAATGAAGATTTCTGTGAAGTTAATGTATCAAATAAACTTCAGTATGCATAACTCTGTAGGAAGTCTGTTGGGGAAAATTAGACTTCATAAACTGCAAATGGTAGGAACTGTAAAGTTATTTCTTTAAACATATTGAAAAGTTATGTCATTTAATAAATATGTGAACAGCCTGGTCCAAGGGAAGTGGTGTTTACAACTAATTGATCACAACCAGTTACAAATTTCTTTGTTTCTTCTGCACTCCCACTGCTTCACTTGACTAGTCTTAAACAAATAAAAACAAAACACTGTGAACAGGTCTCAAATCTTTTGATTCTTCAAGGAGACAGACACTGCAACACAGTTTCCTTTTCTAAAATGGCCAGCAGTGGGGCAACCAATGAGATTTAATCTGACATTTTCATTGAACCTGTTGATTGTGAAATAACTGGTTAACTAAAATACAACTTCAAGTTTTGAAAAATTAGCTGATCTCATCTGGATTTCAATGACTTTACAGTTTACAAAATTAACATACTGTATTCAAATCAGTAGAAGTAAGTTTATCAAGTCAATATAATGTTTGAATAAACAGCATTAAATATATGGGTTTTTAAGAACTGAGGTATACGATATTTGAAACATCTTAAGGAGCTTAGCTCACTGAGACTTGAAAATTTTAATGTCTTTAATAAATAAAATATTCAGACTCTAATCTTTAAAATGAACCAAGGAAAAAGGAATGCTGAATTTCTTTGTAAAAAGTTTTTTATTGATGCAATCTTAAAGCATCTTTAAAGAGTTCTTACCTGAAATCAACTTCCTTTTTACATTCACTGTTTCTAATAAAAAAATCCACCTTTTTATAATTTGAAGAATTTGGTTTTTTTTTTCAGAGCAAGTAAAGCATAGCTTCTCAATCTCTGGTGACAGATTTTGTAGTTTTCTTTCTTGAAAATGGTCCTACATTTGAGATAAAAAATAACAATCATTGAAAGTGTAAGCACTTGGGCAAAATTTAAAAGAAAAACAAAGAAGTGCTTCTTCTTACTAGAACTGCATTTCCGGCCTGTTGAGGTAATTTTGTCATGGAGGATGCACTGAACCTGGGCGTAGCAGAATTTGATAAAGAAGTATCTGACATCTCATGTGATGAAACAAAATTAAAAATTAAAATTAATTATTTGTAAAATATGTCAAGAAAAACAAACCATTCTAATTTGGATCATAATGATTTTTGGGGAATATGATCAAAGTTTATCACATTTATCACAAAATACTAATGGAGAACTTGGTATATTTCCTTTCCTTTAGATCAAACCATAATTTATATATCCCAAATTAGGAAAAAATACTATTTTTAAGGGACTATAGAAATAATTATTCAACAATTTTCTTTAAAATTGAGTCTAACACTTAATTGTCTATTACATAGAACCCTATAAACATTTTCTAAATTCCACTTGCTTAACTTTTAATCTCCTTTCTCTATTCTGGTCTCACTGTAGACATCTCCAGTTATCTTCTTAGATATAACTGTATGCAAGAATTTACTCTGAACCTTCTGTATTAACTCGTTCACTAAAACACATTTATTCTTCATTACTCTATGCCAGATATTATACTAGAAGCTGAGTATGAAGTAATAAAATGTCAGGGAGTTACCATGAAGCAGACAATGAATAAAAGCAAATATATACATAATTATAGATTCTATAATTATAAAAAGAAAATGAACTGGGCAACAGCATAAGAAATAATGGTGTGGAGCCATAAACCGATTTTTAAAAGATGATCATCAATGCATCTCTGATGAGGTAACCATTTAAGTTGACACCTGAAGGATAAAATGTAACAGCCATGTAAGGAGCAATGAGCAGTGTGGGTGGGGACAGGGAAGAACCACATATACTGATAGGATTGGATCATTTTGTCTCTGACTAATAAATATATATACATGGCAAGGAATAAAAAAGTAAAAAGTGTATAAAAAAAAGCAGGCCAAGCACAGTGGCTCACACCTGTAATCCCAGCATTTTGGGAGGTTGAGGTGCAAGGACAGCTTGAGTCCAGGAATTTGAGACCAGCTTAGTAAACATAGCAAGAGCTCCGTCTCTAGAAAAAAAAAATTTTTTTTAATTAGTCAGGCATAGTGGTGTGTATGTAACTGTAGTCCCAGCTACTTGAGAGGCTGAGGTGGGAGGATCTTCAGCCCAAGAGGTTGAGGCTGCAGTGAGCCATAATTATGCCACTGTACTCTAACTTAAAAAAATAAAAAAGCAAATTTCCTTTCCATCCCAAATCCTCAGGTCCCACAGGCCTTTTCCCCAGCAGCAACTTCTACACCAGGTTCTCAGAGGCTTCTTGTTAGAATCCATTTTTAAACCCACACATCTTCTGTTGGTCACTTCTAAACTCTTCCAAAATTGTTTGTTGTTTTTTAAAGGTGTGGTGCACAAAACTGTTCATGTGCCTTGTTACCTTCCTTCTTATGATTTATTTACTTTTTGCTTCTCTACACCTACAACTTTGTCTCACCTGGATACTTATATCTGTTTATTCTATGTGACTCAGAGTTTTAACCAATGAAACAAAGTGATAAGAAGACATATTTTAAGCAAATGTTTTAAAAAGCTATTCAATGATCTAAGAATCCTAACATGGAACAAGGGTGGATGAGCTCCTGGTCACTAAAACTGTCTTGGTAGAGGTAGCATGACTACTTGCCAGTGATGTTGAATGGTGATTCAAGGATCCAGTGAGAGGGAGACTAAACAATACTTAAGACCCCCACTTACCTCTGGAATTCTATGAAAACTATGAGTCTGTGATGCTGATGCTAATGATCAGTAATGGCTAAATAACAGCAAAAATTCCAAGGGATACCACAAACTTAGTATTTTTTTAAAGCAGAGAAATAAATAATCCTTAAGTAGAAAATCAGACCCTGAATAAAAAGCTGTTGGTATTTCTTCTGTTTTGAAAATTTTGGCTTTGGCCATAATTTCTCTCCCTTGACTTCTAATCAAGTCCAATATTTCCCAATGCATTTTGCATTTTTTTTGTAAAGATACTTCAAATTGAACATTTATAAAATTAGGTTTTCCATTCTAAATCTCTTATTTCCTATATCCTTAAATAACACCTACCTAGGAGCCATTATTCTTCCCTCTTCCTCAACTATCATATCCTATCAATTGCCACATTGAATCTGCTCTATTTCTGAAATGTTTTAAAAATCCAACCCTACCTCTCTGTTCCTATCACTTCTGCCCTAGTTTAGGCCTCATTATAGTCTGTCTTTCTCATTGGCCACCATGCCTCTGGCAGTCCCACTCCCTAGGATTCACTCTGCATACTGCTGCTAGGATGATTTTTTAAATCAAATTGTTTTTCCTGTGCTTAAATATTTTGGATGATTCCTCACTGCCTACCATACAGGTAAAAACTAGAGGGCCCTACGACACATCTGGCCTACAGATATTATTATTTGGAGGAGGGTGCCACAGAGTACATCACATTTTTTTGAATTAGTTGTCAAAATTTAAAAATAATAAGATATCACATAAAATTTCAGATTCCTAGCTTTTCTTGAAAAATCAGAATATTTTGTAACACTAGACTCACATTGCCTGCATAGTAACAACTGTTTGGAGCTGAGTAGTGGCTGCTTCCTTTAGATGGGACACTCTGCAGTTGGCCTTGGCCCACCAAATCTTGAAGGTATTTGGGTTTGCGACCCCTGACTGTCTGGGTACAGGACAGGTGTCTAAGCACAGCACTCAAAACCCCTTACAATAAGACCTCAGCAACAGAGATTATGCTGTGACCACACACCCCACACTTTACTGATCTTTGAGCATGGGATGCCTTTTCAAGCCTTATCCCTTTACAGATGCTTTCTTATACCTGGAATGCCTATCCGCCTCTGTTCTAGTTGTCAAACTCCTATTCAGTTTTCAAGTCTTGTTAAAAGTGAAGGTTCCTGGGCTCTAGTCCCAGAGACAAAAATTTAGTAGGTCTAATGTGGGGCTCAAGAATGTGCATTTTTAATATGCACCACAAAGTGATTTTGATGCAGGTGGTTTAACAACAGCACTTTGAGAAACACACCTCTAAGATTAAGAGGGTTTAGGTCGGCTAATACCTTTTAGCATCTCTGACATCTAATACCTTGATCTCCATCTCCAACTATGCGTCAAGAGGATATAAAGTTGTATGTATTACAAACCAAAGTTCTAAAACTTGCCTGTTTGACATTTCTCTTTGGAATTTGCTCTTTGACTCTTGAAGGGGTAGCTTACTTGCCCTGGTACTTGAACTCAAAGTGTTTCCAAATCCTATGTGAAGAGATAACATTTTGAAACAAAATGCCAAGAAACAGCTGAATGAAGCTTTTCACAGGTTCTACAATGCTCTCTCCAACAGATATGATCTGGTTAAGGAAGGAATGAATAATTCTCAATCACCTAATTTAATTTGCATAGAAAAATTAGGGGCACAAAGCTAAGGGAGTAAAACTATAAAACATACAGGTTAGCTTATTAGTAACTATATTGAAAGGTCCTCAAGCCACCTGTGTTGTTGTAAAACACATATTTGGTCTTTGACCCCTGTTTCTAACTCTACTGGGTTGGAAGACACCCAGCTGGTATTCACTGCGGAACTGATTGCTTGCTTGGTGTGTGGGGAAAAAACCCAGACATGGTCACAGATGTCTTCTGGGCTGATCATGGTGTGAGAGTGAGGAAAAACAGTTTGTGCTTTTCCACTCACCCTCATTATTTATATACTTACATTTTCATTCACATAAATGATCAAGTTGAAGTTCACTCAGTATTTTCAATGGTCTGTTCATAATCATTTAAAGTGCTCTATACATGAGGGAAAATGTCATTTATTGAGACTGATTTTCCCAGTGACAAAGCTATGCCCTCTTAGGACTAAGCAACCTCGAAGGATCAGTACACATTGCCTATTAACTTACAGTACGCAATGACATTTAAACTCGAGGTAGGGAACAGTAGTTGTCCAGTGATATACAAAATTGTGCCTAATGACCCCATATCATGGAGATTGTCCTGGCCCATTCTGTGAAGGTGGTCAAATCCTGTTCTTTTCAGAAGCAGTATTAGTTCTCTAGGTAATTCTAAGGCCCCCGAAACAATAACATTTCAACTTCTAACTGCTTCCCTTTGAAATATTCTTTTAAAAACATGAGGTGGGTTATAGTAAGAGGTATCTATAATTGTGGGAATACCAGTCTGCACTGAAAAGGCTGAGGGATTGATTTCTTTCTGTCAGCCCTAATGGGAGACAGTATCTCCATTGCTATCTTGTCACATACTTGCCAAGATTTTCAATTCCCTGTTTTAGTGAAATGGAGTAAATTTGCCTTTCACTCAAAGAGCTAATAAGCCTCATTATTTTGGGGTTGTATATGATTGAAATAGAATTTCTAGTACAGGATAAACTAACCCTTTTTTTCTTATTTATTTATTTACTTCAAGCTGAAAATTTCATATTTCAACTAGAAATAAAAGTTATTTTCTTTGCAAACAGATGAATAGTTTTAAAAATAAATTTTTTTGTCCTTCACAAATATTAGCAGACCATTTGTGATCTTAGAATGGAGAACAAAATAGTCTGTTTCATGAGAGAAAATTGAATAAACAATTTGAATTGACTTTTACAAGAGATAGGAGCAATAGAATAGAAAGTGCTCATTTGCTACATTATCATCATGGAATAACCTTCATCTCTTCCCTTAGGGGGGAAATGTTCTTTGTAGAAGGGTCACATTTTCAGTTTTGCTAAAAATTACAATCTTAACAAACCAAATCTAACTAAACAAGCACACACAACAAAGGCAAAGAAACTTAGTTCCAGGAGCTGAAATGAAAAATATTCAAAGAATTTCTAATGAAATGATTCCATGCTAAGTATGATTTTACCTGATATTTTTGTCTTCTCAGTATCAGTTGAAAAGCTAGTAACTTCTAAGTTTTCCTCATCAAAATCATCCTGAACTTCATTTCCCAATTCAAAGTTCACATTCAAAACTTCTGAAAATAGAGAATTGCTTTTATCTACATCTGTCAAATTTTGGTTTCCAGATATACTGAGACTTCTGTTGAAGAACACTTTTGAGAGACTTTCTCATTTGAAGTTGTAGAATAGTTATATCTAGAAAAATCTGTTATGTGTATGTATAAAAGACTATAGGTACTTTTTAAACCACAAGCATCGTAGTCTATTGATATATCAAACACATCTTTCAACTACTAAACAGAGTTCTTGAGTAATAGTTTTCAAAAGCATTGTGTCAAGCATTGTTGAATACTGCATTCAGCTAATTCTATTAACTGTATTAAGTTGCACTAAATTTAAGTTTCAATAAATTTTTTAGGCAATTAATTTTTCCTCTTAATTCCCATATTAGAATAACTCTACTCTAAGATTGGATTATAATAGTTTCTAAAATGGCCTTCCTCCTCCAGATCTTCTCCCTAAAGTTAATTTTCAGTATTGTTATAAAAAGTATTTGTACAAAATAAATAATATTTATTCTTCTCCTGCTAAAAAATCCTCACTGTTATTCATTGTTTATAGTCTGGATTTAGAGCCAAACTACCTAAGTGAAAATTCCCTTTCTATTAGTTGTGTAGTCTTAGACAAGTAATTCAAACTTCTTGATTCTGCAAAATAAGGCAACAACAGTATCTACCTCAAAAGATTGTTATGGGGGGCTAAATGCCTTTAGTTGCACAGTTTTACATAGTATTGTGGTAATAAATGTTTAATAGCTACCTCTACAAAAAGCGTATGCATATGTATACATATATAAGTTTATTATAATCTTTACTGATGTAAAGGCTATACAGCACACATTTTATAAATAACAATAACATATATGGTATGCTTAAATGTAAATTCCATATATCTAATTGATTCTCATTGAATGTTTTCATTAAGTTTTGCCACTCTTTTATCTGTAGTCAACCTATGGTTGCAAGTGACAAATGAATGTAGCTCTCATGTGAATGTTGTTTGATATTTTTGTTGACTCTAAAAAGTAAGATGAAAGTATTAATAAAACAACAAAGACATCTGTTGGGATTTCACTCATTCATCATTGACTTAAGTAACCTCTTTCCTGAATTAGATAGTAATTTTCAAATACTAGAGGAATATTCTCTCAATTTTTTGTGTTATTCACAATGTAATGGCTACAATAACAACACATGTTTGTTTAATCTACATGATTAAATTTTATCCCTCACTTTCTGAATTCTAAATAATAAGCAAAACAATAAATCAAACCCAGATTGGTAGTGTTTGCTGATTCCTATGGTATAAATAAATGTTCCCACCATAACTCATTTCAAGCTATTAATGTGACATAATTGAATAAGAAGTTGGGAAAAAATGCACGACAGCACCCTATTATATAGTATTTCTACCATATAGATAAATAACCTCAAGAACACAGATAACAGTAAAATACAGTAGAATAATTAGGAAGTGATGAGTTTTGAGTATTGTTGCCTTTGTTTTTAACATAATTTAATTGAACGTTTATGTAATTAAATTTTTAATAATGGCTGAAAGATTCTTGAAAATTTAATAATCACCTCTCATAAGTCAGTATAAACTTGCTCCAGCATATCACTGAGTTTCCTCCACTTTAAGTATCCTCCATCAATTGATTTCTTCACCTGTCCAAACCCTTCTTTATTCTTCAACTGTACCTATAACTACAGTTCACATTATTCTACTTTTGTATGTTGATTTGCACACACTGAGACACACAATGTATATATGTACTAAAAATGGAAGTTTGTACAGAGTGCAATGGGAATGCAGAGGAAGGAGGATCTAAACCTGCAATGGAAGTGAGACATACTCTTCTAAGGTGATACCACATGACAGACAGACTCCTGAGGTGATAGCATATGAAGGAAGAGTAGTTGAAATTTCAGCTTGATAGAGCTGTGGTTGTGAGGCAGGGCAAGAGGACAGGGAACCTATGCCATGAAGGGAAAACACCATGTAAAAGACACAGCAATATGAGAGAACCGAGAATTTTGGGAGAACTGTAAGTTTTCAGGATTTCTGGAGCACAAAGTAGGAGAAGGAAGGATCCACTGTGTCTGCACAGGTAGTTAAATGCTAGATCATGCGGAAGCTTATTTGCCACATTGAGGAGATTTTTTGGTTTGGTTTTGTTTTTTTCTTACAGGCAAAGGATAACTATTGAAGATGTTTCAGCAGAAGGTTTACACAACCAGATATGTCTGTTAGATCACCTGGTATATTATGGATTGAAGGATAATGAGACTGAAAGCAGAGAGAAAAGTAAGTTATTGCAGTAAATGAGAGACAATGAATGCTTAAGCTAGAGTATCAGCAGAAAGGATAGAGAGGAAATAACAAATATAAGAGATGTGCAGGAGGCAAAATAATTAAGATTTGGTGACTATTTACACATGGGGTGAGCCATTTAGAAGTACACTTTTTCTGCCTTTAGCAGCTTAACAAAGAAAAGAGTTCATTCACCGAGCTAAGGAAAAAAGAGAAGGTGCAGAGTGAGGTACAAAGAAGACAGAGTTCAGATGCTGACATGTCTGATATGTTAACTGTTAGGTGGATATGTCCAGGAAGGTGATTATATAGATGAATTTGGAGTTAGAAAGAAAGATCTAAATGGGAGATACAGACTTAGAAATTATCAAAACATAGTGATTAAAGACACAGGCTTGGGTGATATTGTATAGGAAAAGTTTTTGAAGTGAGAAGAATAAAAAGAAAAAAGAATGCTTTTGCAACATCAACAGGAAGAAAAGCCCATGCAGCCTAAGAGGTAACAGGAGACCAATATAATGGTTTAATTGAAACCAAAGAGAGATTTCCAAAAGAAAGACCAGAAGTATCAACTACTACTGAGGTCAAAGAGAGTAACAGTTGAAAATAGTTCACTGAATTCAGAACTTAGAAAGTCACTAAATGGCCTGAACAAAAACAGTTTCAAAGGAGTTACACAGAGAAAACCCAAATTTTATTGAATAAAGAGGAACTAGGGTATAACGAAGTGATGAGCATACTGAGTGTCAATTGCTCTTTCAATTAATTTTGTTGTGATGAGATAGAGGGTACAGGGACTCTAGAATTCTGGTTTTTGTCTGCCTGGTATGCTTTCCCTTCTTTTAGTGGGAGTACCCTCCCTTTCCTTTGAAGAAACTACTTCTACAATTCCACTGGATCCTAGTAAGGCCATTTTTCATGGTGCCCTGCCTTCTCTGGGGCCACAGGTATACAATGATCCAATCCTCAGGTTACTGGGATTGATCAAGTGATAAACACATGACTCAAATGAGGCCATTTACAATGAGTTCTGGTCTGCCAAAACTAACAGGGAAGTCTACTTTTTTCCACTGAGGCTGCTAAACTGCTAAGATGAAAGTTAGGGGCTACCTGCCATGTGAGAAACCCTATTTAAAAGGTAAAGCCAAGTAGCAACACGCATAGCTAAAAGATTGAGAGAAAGCCAGAGGCATGAGTGCCTTGATTTAGCCAGAATTAGGCCAGATACTTTTCAGTTTACTTGAGACAATTGGTTCCTTTTCTTGTGCTTAAGTCATTTTGAGTAGAATTGTTATCATTTATAATAAAAAAAGTCATGACCAGCTAGATGAGGACATGAAGCTGAAGAAGGAAGAGACTTCAGCATATTTACATGCTAAAGGGAAAGACACAGTGGAGAGGAAACAATGAAAATATGGGAAAGAGGAGATGGATAATGATCTTCTAAAGTCCCAGGGAGAGCAGGATTAGATAGAATTAAGATTACAGGAGGAGAGATATGCCTCGAGTGGAAGAAAAGATAATTTTTCTTTTAAGACAAATAGATGGTTACAGATGGATGCGGAGACAGGGAAATATATAGTTGAGGGGTGGGGTGAAAAGCTGAAAGAGTTCATATACTACTATTGGTTCAATTTTCAATTCTCCACTGATAACTAAAAGTCAATATCACTTTATAGAAATGGCATTGGGCTGGGAATCAAAAGATATGCAATCTATTTCTGGCCTTGCCATTAATTAGATATGAAATTTTGGGGCAAGTCATTTAATCTCTTGGAGTCTTGACTTCTTTCACTATAAAATGAGAAACTGCACAAGGTCCCTTCCAATTTAAGTCTTATGATTCAACATGCTTTCTTATATAATTTTTGACACTTTTTCTTCTTCCCTTTTTGAAATTGGAATACAGAAGATAAAAACTGCCGTGCTTTTCAAAAACATTCTCAAAAGCAGTGTTTGAATACATTTAAAGTATGTTTTGCCACCAAAGACTAATATGTGAAAAATATAATAAACATACTCAATTAACTGTTACTAACAGTACCAGAAACTATAACAGCTTTACATGCATTATCTCATTTAATCCCAAAACCCCTAAAATATAACCAGATGAAGAATTTAGACAAAGTGGTTAAGTAGACTATGAAAGGTTACACTAAATGTCAGAGCTAGGACTTGGACAGATTGTTTTCAGATCTTGTGAACTTAACTACTACACCATACAGCTCCTTTTTTTTAAAAAAAAGTGGCCCACTCGATAAAACAGGGATACAGTTATTATTGGGTGTTAAGGTATCTAGATGAGGCTTTAATATCATACTATAAATTGGATTTGGAATAGTTAGTGGGAAATAAAAGGAGGAAAACCATGTAAATAGAACACAAAAGTAAGCAGAGAGAAGGATAGATAAGCTCTTGTGTGCAGAAGGACAGGTAGTAGAGTAGTAGGATAAGGAAGGAGTAAGTTAGAGGGCTAGATGTTGAACAAAGATAAATATAAGAAGCTTGACAATTTTATACTTCCTATCCACTTTGTAATGATATCCAGGCTTTGAATAAGTTGGATAAATGCTCTGATTCTCCAGGTGAGATTAGGAACTTTTCTTGATCTCATTATTGGGCCTAATAGGTGCCATGGTATCATAAAAGGTAGTGAATACTCCAGTCCTTGCTTCTGTAAAATCTTAAATTATGACTAGAGGAAAAAAAGTTACAACATGAAGAAAAAAAAATGATAGCATGAAGACAAGAATGTCAACAGAAGTCAATGCCAAACACATGAAATGATTTTCAGAAAACCCCAAGCTTACCATTTCTACATACAGCTACTTGAAGATGGATAGGACTGTCTCATGTTTTAACAGACTGCTATTAACAGCATTATTCAGGGAAATTATGCTCTATTAATTGCAGGAACCAGAGCAATGATGAACCAGGCAGTGTTGAATTTATATGTATTATCTCATTAATTAAATGACAGATAAAAAAGCAAATCTAGATTACAAACTAGCTATATCCCACAACCTAAGTTATATTCTCATACTAACATAGAATTGTAAGAATCATAGGTTTAAGAATTGGAGAGATATTAAAGGTCACCCAGTTCAATACCTTCATCTTAAAGTTAAGACTAAAGCCCAAAGAGATTAAATAACTTGCCCAAGGTCACATTGATATTTTGTAAAACTGGACTAGTTTTATAAACATAAAATTATTTTAAATAATTCTAACAATATATGAAGGTAATCATTCAGTATGTTAATACTCTATATACTCAAGGATGCCTTATTGGCTCAGATTTTCCTCATAGTATCTTTAAATTAAAATAGCATTATGTAGGAAAGAGATTTTTTTTTAAAAAAAATAGAGTAAGACCATCTGAATAACAGACCCAAGAATTTGAAAATGATTCCATAATCTAAGAGAAAAATGTTGCCAAGTTAATAATTATAATAATTTCAGATGCTGGTGTTTCCATAACACTACTTGTCAATTCAAAGTAGTAATAAGCCATTTACTCTCTCAAGTAAGTATCAATGGTAATTTACCTTTGTCTTGATATTCAGATGGTTCTTGTCTAACTTTTCCATAGATTTCAGGCTGATCCCACTGCTCCATTATAGGAAATTCAGATATGTTTAAATATTCTGACCTTTATAAAGATAAAACCATAAAAAGTTAAAGAAAATATGAAAATTAATCTAAGCCTGAAAACTATTTATTCATATAAATAAAAATAATGATTTATTCATTTAACACTTCTATGAAAAACTAGACCCAGCCTGGGTAGCAAATAAACAGGTGTTTAATGGAAGTGACCAATGCTTAGTCTTCTTTGCATGCCCTTAGTTAGATAACAAAAGCCACGATCTCTAGAAGTACTGCTGGTATCTATTCCAATGAGTCAGTTCCTGTTCTGTACTAGTTGTTAAATATATTGAATGTCATTCCTGCATATAGAATGCCCTTATCTGGAAGGGAAATTACATATATGATTGTCCTGTAGGCATCATGATACAGGAAAAGAACACTGAGTTACCATCTGAGGCCTTCTGCTTGCTAACTAGGAATATGAACTTCAGTTTTTCCATCTATACAATAGGACAAAAAAATACCTCATTTTATGGCCATGTTGTTGTTTAAGTCAGAAAATATAATGCACGAATGTATAATTTTTGTATTATAAATCTGAGATATTATTAGCATGGACTGAGCTTCTAAATGGAAAGGTTAGACTTTGTATGCCAACATCATTTCCACTTTTAAAGTATACGCTTGTCACTTAGTTTATATTCCCTGTAAAGAGAGAACCTAAGGGAATGACATAGGAGAGGTAGTTTCCCAGGGAAGAGATGATTTAATGAGTGTTATTTCATAACTGTAGAGTTCTAAATAAATTTGGGGTATCAAAGATAATGAAACCATTATGATGTTATTGCTTCATTATGGAACTAAACGATAACTGTGATTTGATGGTAGCCAGTGACTATCTTTCCCTGAATAAATGGTTACCTGCAGGAACAGAGTTTATGATAAATATTTTACCTTAGATATTAACATTATATGTGTACCTCGATATACTAGGAAGGGAAGGTTTTGGAGTAAAACCAAACTCTTTAAGGTCCACACTTTGAGATTTACTCATCTGTATCTATTAATGAAACAAATATAAGTTCAAGTATCAGTATAAGTTCAAGTATCAGTTTCACATCAATAACTTGTAACACATGAGCCAAACAACAAAATTCCTGGTGGTACATAAAGTCCCCAAATCAATGAATTAGGAGAAACTCAGGTTAGGAGAGCACATGGGGGAAGGGAGTCCCCTTTACGCCTATGCCAGGGGGGGAACTGCGATGACACGACGACGACGCTGGGAAAATTGG